TGAGGGGTGAGGATATAGGATGGGTGAATAGCCCAGGACAGAAGGAGAGATGACACAAGTGTTTAGCACACATATGGTCAAGGGATGGGCTTCACTTGTCTCTTTGATGAATTGTAGTGTGGTGCTAAGAATGGCAAACTCACTAATGATGGCGGCGAAAAGTCTGGGTATGTACCAGATTCGACTTTGGAAATGATCCTGCATACAATGGACTCCGGATTAGGTTCGTTCCTCTAAGTCTTCCTACCAATATGATCCAATTGTGAAAACAAGGTCAAACAACTTCTATACAACGAAAGGAGACTGCGATCACCTAAAAGGCCACACCATCTTGGTCTTCATATCTTGGATAAAACAATATAACCTTTGTTGTCAGGTTCTTCAATATAAGGGCTGATTCCCACCTTACATTTTAGGCATTGAAACCTAAAGATGTTGGTCTTAAGTAATTTCAAGAGCTTGAATTGCCCTTTCAACTTTTATGCAGGCGTGTATATAGTTAGGATTTCCCCAAAGGGAATAGAACACTAGCAATGTCAAAAATCAAAATACGGCGAGCAAATATAATTACAGTTGCTAAACGTGCAGTAACATAACAAATATTGACGTTGTTTGACCTTGCTTTCTCAACATGCTCATATCGGCAGGAAGGCGTAAAGGAACGCACGTTGTCAAGGGTCCATAGTATGCATAATAATCGCCAGAGTCGGGGCGTGAACTTGATAAATTCCCAGACGTTTGACCGGCATCGTCAGTGAGCCTTGCCAGTCTTAGCGCCACATTACAACTCGTCAAAGAGACAAATGAAGTGGATCCTTTGACCAATTGTCTGCTAAACAGTTGTGGTTTCTCTCCTTCGGTCCCGAGGTATTCACCTATTCTATATCCTCGTATCAAACCTGTTATATCATTATTTGTTAATTGCTTATCTAAGCCTAATTGTGGTGTGGTCTTTTGACCGGATTCAATGAGGCCTATTTAGACTCCCCGCTGGTTAACTCATCACCCCAAGACGCTGGGCGTGTTGATCCAGGATTGTCGTTTTGTCCGCAATCCACATCCTCCAGATCATATCGGAGTTTCCCTCTTGTTCCGTAGGATCCGTCTCTTATCGGCCTGCTTCAGTGAGTTCCCTCCATCGCCCTTGCCGTATCCGTGCCACTCAAGGCGTTATGTTCTACACTCTGCTTCAAGCTTTACATAGCAGTTATCCTCCAGCCTCAATGTGCGAGCGCCTGGAGTCTGGAGTTTCAAGTAGCATGGCAACCTAACTTGACGCGGCAGATTCCCGTATCACTTTGTGGCACGTGAACTGAGTAGATCTCCTGGTTAAGTCTTTACTTTATGGATTATTGCTATGATGAAACTCAACCACTAATAGCCAACTACATATGTTATCCGCGAAATCTCCCGCTCTTCTATCCATAATGCCAAGTTTCTGACAGTTATATACCTTATGATTGTGGATTGCGGACAAAACGACAATCCTGGATCAACACGCCCAGCGTCTTGGGTTGATGAGGGAACCAGCGGGGAGTCTAAATAGGCCTCACTGAATCCGGTCAAAAGGCCACACCACAATGAGGCTTAGATAAGCAAGTAAGAAATTATGATACAAAAGGTGTGATCCGAGGATATAGAATAGGTGAATACCTCGGAACCGAAGGAAAGATACCACAACTGTTTAGCAGAAAATTGGTCAAAGGATCGACTTCATTTGTAATGTGGTGCTAAGACTGGCAAGGCTCACTGACGATGCCGGTCAAACGTCTGGGAATTTATCAAGTTCACGCTCCGACTCTGGCGATTATCATGCATACTATGGACTCTTGACAAAGTGCGTTTACGCCTTCCTGTCGATATGATCATGTTGAGAAAGCAAGGTCAAACTACTTTCTTTTTCATATTTAAGTATTGTTTCGAGACTACCAGTAAATCTTCAATATGCGATGTATTCACCCAATTTCGTTTAAGATGATGAAGGTAGAAGAATTTTCCGTGTCAAGTTCCCATTCTGCACTGTCACGGTTCGACTTCCGCTGGGGGTGTTGATAAGACCGATGCGAGGTAGAAACTGCAGTCCATCTTGGATGAGACCAACTTTTGGAAAAGCAAGGCTATGTGAAATTCAATACAAACGTCAGCGCTACTCATATCATTATGGGAAAATTCTTTTACCAGTCCTTTATCACCTTAAACGAAATTGGGTAAATACATCTTAAACTACTTTCCTTTAGCAAAAGAAGACCACGACCATACCATAGGCCACATCATCTAGGTTTTATTTCCTTTAATAAAAAATTGCTAGAGGCTTCAATTTGCTAGGAAAGGGCAGTATTACTAGATTGGTATGTCGATCTCATAGAAAAAATCGGCCGATTCACGTTTTATGACAGTCATTTGACTTCAACATGACATTCAAGTCGACTTAGTCCACAAAATATCCTCACTCGTTTCGGGTGAAAATGAGATGAGATGCCATTTGTCATATGATTAATATGCTTAAATCTGGAACTCATTCTTGCAAAGACCCCAAGTAAACTCTGAATAAAGAAGACTGAACAACTCTTTATATATATATTTAAATGGGTATAGAATCATTTTGTTAATTTTCTTAGACTCGAGTGTGTCTGTGCATTTTTGCTAACGTTTGCAAACAAACCCATTCCTAAGTAATTATAAAGTAGGCTAAAGTTAGCCTTGAGCCATCAAGGCTTGATTAACCAAAGACAAAAGATTGACTGAGATTGCGTTAGTCCGTAAGTAGCTCTATACGCGTGAAAATCATATTACGAAACCACCAGTCAGAAAACGTTAGTATGGGGTCATTACTTTTCTTGACCCAAGGAAACGCATGACCTAGATTGCGTAATCTCGCACGCTTGTTTGGATTAATAAGCTTAACTGGCCATCATTCAGTTGACAATTTAAGTCACTCAGCACCCTCTCTCTCCTTCAATCTATCAATCAAGCATGAATAATTCTGACTCAACTTTCTACCACCGTTCCTCACATTCAACGGTTTCCATAATCTATTATTTTCAGTAGCCTCTCTTATCTTTCTTTTAACAGCAGACGTACCATAATCAGCAAACCTACTCGTTTGAGATTATTCTTTCTCATGTCCAGTCTCTGCTATGTGTTCAGCCACTTCTGACCGTTCGCATAGCTCCCTTAATGAGCATTATTGTGTTCCGTTAATCTGTGGCGATTAGACAAACAGGTCTCACCATAATTAGATTAGATGGTAGAAAACTAAAAATCTCGGGAGGTAGGATCCGTTTAAGGGACTTTGTAGTTAAGGTAGAGCTTAATTAGGGTAGTTCTAACAAATTTTGCAAAGATATTGTAATTAATATATCCAGTACACAGATGGAGGATGGCGTGGAACTTCTACTGAAAAAGGATTGGATGTAGCATTATCGAATGAAGCAAACTATTCTCTTGACATTATGGTTGAACTAATTAGCTTATTTAATTGAATACCATAAGGACTCGAAGAAAAGTTAGGTTTCGAGGTATCTCTTGTTTCATAATTGTTGAGCTTACTTCCATTTCTAGTGGAAGTGTTGGGTAAAGAGATTCGAAGGTCGGTTCCACCAGAAGACGACGGCGGATTCCTCTTGACC